ATCAAGGAAGCCCAAATGGAAGCCTTGAAAGCTGAAAATGTGGCAGGAGAAACCCTAAGGGGAATGGATAAGAATCTTGAAACCAAGAACGACGGAGTTCGTTATTTCATGGATCGAATATGGACACCAAAGTTTGGTGGATTCAGAGAAATCGTCATGGACGAAGCCCATAAAACACGATACTCCATACACCCCGGCTCCGACAAGATGTATCTCGACCTCAAGAAGTTGTACTGGTGGCCGAACATGAAAGCCGAAATTGCTACCTACGTGAGTAAATGTCTGACGTGCGCTAAGGTCAAAATAGAATACCAAAAACCTTCAGGTTTATTACAACAACCAGAAATACCCGAATGGAAGTGGGAGCGGATAACTATGGATTTCATAACCAAGTTACCCAAAACGACAAACGGACTCGACACCATTTGGGTAATTGTCGACAGGTTAACTAAATCAGCGCATTTCCTACCGATCAAAGAGACGGATAAATTGGAGAAGTTAACAAGACGTACCTCAGGGAAATTGTACGACTGCACGGTGTGCCCGTATCCATTATCTCGGACCGAGATAGTAGATTCACCTCAAGATTCTGGCAGTCGCTACAAAGAGCTTTGGGGACAAGACTAGACATGAGTACCGCCTATCACCCTCAAACCGACGGCCAGAGCGAGAGAACCATACAAACCTTAGAAGACATGCTGAGAGCCTGCGTAATCGATTTCGGCAAAGCATGGGACACACATCTACCCTTGGTCGAGTTCTCGTACAACAATAGCTACCACACCAGTATCAAAGCTGCCCCGTTCGAAGCCCTCTATGGCCGCAAGTGCAGGTCACCTTTATGCTGGGCCGAAGTGGGAGACACCCAACTAGCAAAAGGACAAGCAACTGACAACACACTTACTGGGCCAGAAATCATACGGGAAACTACGGAGAAGATTGTTCAAATCCGAGAACGTCTAAAGGCATCAAGGGATAGACAAAAGAGTTATGCAGATAAGAGACGAAAACCCTTGGAATTCCAAGTTGGAGACCGTGTCCTACTAAAAGTCTCGCCTTGGAAAGGATTGATACGCTTCGGAAAACGTGGGAAACTGAACCCCAGATACATCGGACCATTCGAGATCCTTGCGAGGATCGGTCCAGTGGCTTACAAACTTAGACTACCTCAGGAACTCCACAATGTACACCCTACCTTTCATGTATCAAACCTGAAGAAATGCTTATCCGACGAGACCCTTGTCGTCCCTCTAGACGAAATCGCAATAAACGAAAACCTCCAATTTGTAGAGGAACCGGTAGAGATCATGGATCGGGAAGTCAAAAGGACTAAACAAAGCCGCATACCTATCGTAAAGGTCCGCTGGAACGCCAAGCGAGGACCTGAATACACCTGGGAACGAGAGGATCAAATGAAACAAAAGTACCCGCATCTTTTTCCTAATTTGTAATAGTGATCTTAGATTAAATTTCGGGACGAAATTCCCTTAACAGGGGGATGATGTGACAACCCTATTTTTCCCAAAAGCATTGTAAACACTCGAAAGCTAAAAACAACGAAATTAACCTCGAAAATAAAGTGTTCAGGTATCTAAGTTGGGATGCATCGAATATTAGATATCATGCCCAGGTTTCCAAAACATAAAGAACACTCAAAACCGAGTTATATTGAAGAAATTATAACCACTCGTATAATTACGACTCGACGTTAAAACATAATTTGACGTAAAAAGTGAAATCTCAATAAAATACATTTTAGCCTTAAAGTATCTAAACAAAAGTCGTAGATCTCGTTGAAAGATGAGCGTGCATAAAAAGATCGCCCAATTTGGACCTCGTATGAAGAAGTTACGAATTTTCAAAGTTTCGTAACAGTAGTAAAGGGCTAAAAACTCGGATTAAAGATCGATATTATTTAGCTATCGCCACCTAAACGGAAGTTGAAGATCTCCTCGGTGGTAATAAAACAATAAAAAGACAAACGAAAACCGACGTCGAATAAAGAACCTATGAAATTTTAACGAACTTTAGGAGGCCCGGCCTATTAAAATTATATCATTAAAAATAAAGTCAAAACTAGCCGACGGAGTCTAAATGAAAGTTGTAGAGCATAATCTCACCTACGCGTGGATATAAAGAACGCGAAAAACGGAGCTCGTACGCGAAAGTTACGGAATTTAGAAGTTGGAAGCAGGGATTACGCCCGCGTAATCTGGGAGTACGCCCCGCGTACTAGACCCAGGGTCGAGTCCCATCGGCCCGCCCAAACTACGCCTAGCTAGCCAGGAGTCGTAAGCCATGACGCCTTATTACGCCCCGCGTAACCGAAGTACGCCCCGCGTACTGACTACGCCCCGCGTACTCCGGCAGTACGCGCCGCGTACGGGGGTTTTCAGCCCTATAAATAGAGGGCATAAGGCTCGGGTTTTGGCACACCTTCACCATTTCTCAGACATTCTCCCAGCTCCAGAGACCCTTTTCTCACCTCGGTTTCCGCACTCGAGCCCCGACGAAAGATTTACGTTGCAGAAGTTCCCGAAGAGCCCGACGACGCAACTATCCGCGATCGAAACTCTGCTCAACTCTAGCCCCTCTCTTCAAACTTAACGAGTGAGTTCATACCCCTACTTTTCAATTCTTTTACATGTTTTAGGGGGGGAAATACAAGTACATTACACGTTAAAAGTATCGTTTTCTAAACATAAATGAAATTTCTAACTTCGAATATCGATACACATCTTATGTATACAAGGCAATTATATCACTAAGTTATGCTACGAAATGGAACATACTATTGAAAAACTATAATGGGTATAGTTAGCAAGTCAATCCTACATTTTTATACAATTTGAAAAACGAAACAGTTTCAAAAAGGAGTAAAGTCATTTCATTGTAAATCTATTTATACTAGTCAATGTGAGACATTTAAACTTCAACGTACATTTTTGTATGCATTTCAAGTCCTGTATTATATACCATAATCTCTTGGAGGGAGAGCGTGATACTTGTGTATAGATCTATACGGGATTGACAATCCCGCACCTAAACTACTAGCTATAGTTAGACCGGCAGGTCTGGGGTGACAAATGTCATAACACTGCAACACTTGAAGAATGTTGTTACAGGCCGTCAGTGTCAATAGTATGGTTATAAAGCTCACATAAAAAGTATAAAACAAGATTGATTTACGAGATTCATATGTGCATCACAGTTTTCTTACATTATAATTTCATACTAAATTTTTGTCATTGTTGTTTATAAAAGTTACTAATACACTTCCAGTTTTGGAACCTTTTTCATTCTTACAAGAAAATATTGGATTTTCTAAAAACCTCGTTTACCAAATTACTACCAAAAGGAATATACTTTTCAACTCGGAGCACTCATGAACTCACCAACTTAATTGTTGACACTTTTCAAAACCACTTGTATTTCTCAGGGAATCAGTGATACAGGTAAACTACCAGCTTTTGGAAGAAGGAACATAAAGGATGATTTTATCATTAAGCATTTAAATCATCATATTGTAATATTCTTTTGATAACATGTATAACGCAACAATACACGTTTTCATTGTTATATATATGATGGTTGTGTTACTTTCTTTACAATATTCAATCGTTGTGATACTACGTGAAGTCATCCACTCCCGAATGTTTCCGCCATTCTGGTTTGGGGGTGTGACAGCCGGTGTAAGGAATGCACATATCATCAGGTATTCGGACAAAACTTTCATCGATGGTTTCTTCATCTCCGTTGCCAATTCGTTTCAAAAAATCTGAAAACCATGGATCGGCCAGTGCTCTCATATTTATAGTTAAACGTATTTTTTTAATCAAAGACCAAAGAGGTGACATCCTCAAACTGGCGTCTACAATCTGTGCTCTAGTAGCACGTCTGATTACTGGTAACACCTGCCTAAAATCGCCTCCCAAGATCATTATCTTTCCACCAAAAGGGAGGTTCACCTTTGTAATGTCTTGCATCGTTCGATCCACCGCCTCTACTGCTTGCCTATTCGCCATTGATGCTTCATCCCATATGATTATTTTGGCAAACGAAGTAGTTGTGCAACCCCACTTTGCTGATTGATTTTGCACATTGAGTTATTATCAAGATTTATCGGAATCTTAAACCGCGAGTGAGATGTTCTCCCCCCAGGCATATTATTAGCCGCAACACCGGATGAAGCTGTCGCAAGTGCAATATGACCATGGGAACGAACCTCGGCAAGTAAGGCTTTGTACAAAAATGTTTTCCTAGTTCCACCAGGACCATCTATAAAAAACACACCCGGACGATTCTGATTAACGTGGGTCATGATCTCATCATATGCATTTTTTTGGTCGGTATTGAGAGAATCTTTTGCACGAAGGTGTTCATCATCCACAACGATGGAGTACTCCTCTTGGACCTCACGATAAAATCCAGATTCCAAATTGATGTTTGTATTTACCATAGGAAGATCAAACTCATTGAGATGCTTACCCATAGATTGCAAAATTATAGAGATATCCATAAGAACCATGGTTTGAACTCGCTCAACACTTTCACATTGTCGCATATAATCTTCAGAAAGTGAATTATAGTGGTCATCCCATAACTTGCGAACATCTCCGGGTTCGCAATAAATGAGTATTGTTGCAAATAACCTTCTAAGAGCACCTGGAAATTGATATAACGAAGACATTGAGATAGGTTATCATCGGTCTCTATTAACCCTCTCTCAAGAGCAGCTTTACGAAATGTTGGATGTAACACGTTGTTCACCGTGTAATGATCTTCAAAGCATGTTGGCCCTCTAACATGTGATAGAAGAACCCGTAGGTAGTATCTCTCTCCTTCGGCAGGGTTAGCAGAAACCAATCGACCTCTCATTGCTCCTTTTTTCCTTTGCTTCCAACGACGTTTGGTTGAATTCCATGTAAAGTATCTTGGGAATTCTTTATATAGATATTGCCTCGGAATCTCATCCATTTTATTCATGTCAAAAAATGCAGTCAACATTGAACTCTTATCTTTCTCCCTGTCCACAATATCAATCATTGAATCATTATCTGAGAATCTAACCAATTGTTGGTTCGGGAGATGAAGATGCAAAGACATGACGAAAGGGTGGATTTGAGAAAGCGCAAAGCTAAAAATCCTCCATATTGCCTCAGGGGGTGAGACGTAACGTGCATCTTGATATCTTTTAATCTCATTGATGATGGGTTCTGCTCCATCTTGATCAATGTGGACAACTTGTTTGTCATGTCCCTTGTAAACATATTTAAAAGCATATTTCACAGATTTTATGCTCGAGAAAACCTCGACATTCATGTGGCAATTGAACATCATTAACAGCTTCGGGTTATATGGTACCACCCATCTGTTATCAAGTGTATTTCCTCGTACGTTGACCTCTATCCCATTGTTTCTCCTCCTATATAATGGATATGAGTCTTCTCCTTGTGTCGTCGCTTCATTAAATTGTCTAGGATATCTCCACCGACATTGTTTTGGCTCTCCTTGCATACATGGACTGGTTTCTCGTAAATGACCACAAGGACCATGCATCATGTGCTTCACAACAATTTCGTGCATTTTGGGATACTTTTTCAGATCGGGAAGTTCAGCACACACCATTTTGTCATAATGGTCAGCATTTGTCATCTTGTGTTCTGGTCTCATTATCAAGAGGAAATGTGCATGTGGCAAACCACGCTTTGAAACTCTACCACATAAACATATGCTCGAACCACACCCAGGATATGATGCTTTAGAAGTTGGTCCTTTAGATCCTCTAATTTTGCACGAAACACTCTTGATACAAGGTCTGGTCGATCTTGTGCACTTTGCCCGGGTTTCAAATCATCAACAATTTCTGGCCAGTTTGGATTGCATGTTACTGTAAGGAATATATCAGGCTTTCCGTCATCTTGAACTAACGTCATTGCATCTAGGAACCTTCGTCGCATGTCACGTGGTCCACCGATGAAAGATGCAGGTAAGACTATCCGTTGGCCGACTCTACTTGGTTCAACTTCATCGGCATTGACACAATCAACAATTCCTTGGTAAAGGTCAGATCTTATCTTCTTTTGGTTTAGCTTACAAAAAAGCAAGCATGAAGTCTCGATCTTTATGTAGATATATACCACAAATTGTTGTAGCAATCTTCTTCCCAATAGAATTAAATTTTTAGATGAGCGAATCTGGAATTTGTAACAGTAGTACTCACGCATTGTTACGGTATTCCTACCCTTCTTTGACTTAGCCCCTGCATAAGGGTAATGTTAGAAACTTGTAAATTTTGTATTTATGTATATTTTTACCGAAATCATTGATTTTCATATTTCAAAAATGTATGTACCTTCTATATCATCCACAATATTTTCTTCATTACCCACAGCTTCATTGATGGACACCCCATCCCTTGCTATTTTTGCATGCCAACCAGACTCACCATTAGGAAAGAATAATGGATAAGACAAAGGATCATAACAACCTTCGTAAGGTTGAATTTGTGTACTATATTCAGATCTCCCATATACAACAATGCTTCTTTTATATGTTGTTATGTTGTCATTACCTTCTACCCAAATACCAGCAACCTATATAATTTGTGATTTTAGTATGGTGAATATGTAATACGATAACTGATATCACTTAAAATTAAGAGAAATAATTATTATATCCAAACCTCAGATGTGGTCGGCCGATTGTATACCCTCTGGTCAAGTTCCACTGATGCGTTCAAAGTGACTCTATAGTTATCGAGAGGTCCTAGCTCACGAAGGCTTCGAAACGTTGTAGCATACGGGTTTGTTGAAAGAACGCCCACCAACACTTGAATGATCTTTCGATCAATATTTGGCCATTGAAGTCTATGTGTAAAATCGGTTTCGGAATCATAGAAATATAATTGTAAGTACCTAGGTAATCCATCCCTCGGTACTAACTGATCAATTCTATGATATATTGCTCCGTTCGCACGGAATGTATATACTCCGGATTTCATATTGCTCAAATCATCATCCAACTCTACTCCCATGGATGTGAAAGAAAATTTTGTATTGTAAGCACGTATATTATCTCTAAATATTTTGCTTAACTCCTCTTCTGATGTAAAAAGATGATATAACTCATTAGGAATTTGGGAAGATGCCAACTTTGTTTTCCCACTCATGCAACAAAAAGTAGCGAATTCATGTTTGAACCGTTTGGCTCCACAATGAACACATATATTACTTCCTTCCAAAATAGAATGTACTTCAGGGATACCATCGAAAATAGAATGGTATGGATCCTCAAGAAGAATGTCATCTGGAATTACTTGATTGACATGGACCTCGCTAGAACCTCCAACTTCTATAATATATGAAAACACAACTCTTTTAAATTAAAGATAAAAAAATGTAATTGTTCATTTTAAATAATGATGGTTTATACTAAAATTTGCTGTAGAATTAAATTAGGACTAACCATCTAATGTTTCGTGTGTTAACCCCGAATATATTTGGTTGTTTTCTTCAGCACATATAACATGATGTTTGTGAATGACCTCTGCAGTAGCAAATATACTTTCATTGTTTTTTTGTTGGTGATCACTTTCAAGCATTCTCCTTTTTTCTTTGTTGCGTTCATAATACTTTTTGTTAGTATCTTTCCTATTTTGAGCAGCTTTATCCTTACTACGTGGCATAATATTTTCTTTGTCTTTGGCTCGAGTACCATGTGAGGTTGAATGGTTATTTGCGGATAGCATTATTCCACCACTACATTGGTTTTCCAAGTTTTGTAATGGTACCTTTTCTAATTGTTGTTTTCTAATTTTTTCGTTTTTCTACACTACATTGCTTTTAATTTCCATTATATGTAAAATAACATATTTTTATTAACTGATATGTATATAAAGCATATATATTTTATATGCATAAAAATATATGTTACCACTCAACCATTAAAGAGTTTGTGTTCTTCTTTACCAAATTTGTATATAACCACCGAGCGATTTTAAACATGCAAAAATAAGGAATAAAAACTGAAGTCTTCTACCTACAAGGTTTAAATCGTTTCCAGTGCAGTAGAACGGTAGAACCAATATTGACGATTTCTTCTAATCCGTTTTATTTATTTTAAATGATGAAGATAGGTTAATAATATATATTAATGTATCTACATGTATTTATACATATAAAACTATACTTATATGTATAACAAATACATATAAGTGTTTAATCCGGATAAATTTGGATTTTTCTGTATAATATGTATACAGACATACATATAATATTTGTATTTTTTTCCTATATATAAAACATAAACATGTGTATAAGTAAGTATTTGATGTTTTGAAAGCATCTTTATATTTTATAAGCTCTATTATATATAAATTTACAAAATACATATTTATACATATAAAACCTTTTTTGAAATACATAAATACATTTAAAAAAATAAAATTTTAGGGATATAATACATATTTATCTGAAAAATTCTTGAATACATATAAAATGTATTATATATAGAAATAAAACATATTTTAAAAACTTTTAATAATAACGTATAATACAAATTCGATAAATACATAAAATACGTGTTGTATTGGTTAAATATATATAAAAATGAAATACTAAGCAAGGTGTGCAATGCTTTAGCTGGTTAACACATGAAATCGAAACATGCAATGCTTTAGCTGATAAATACATAAAATACGTTTTTTGTAATACATGTCAACCCTAACACATGAAATCGAAACAAACAAGCAAAATCGGTTAGCACAGGACAAACCGTAAGAGATTTTGGCGATTTTTTTGTGGGTAATTATGGAGAACAAAACCCAAAAACTGAAACAAGTTGTAAAAAATGAACCTTTCAATCGTTTGTGCAGCAAAATCTTCGAAAACCTTGGGATTGTATCAACCCTAACACATGAAATCGAAACAAACAAGCAAAATCGGTTAGCACAGGACAAACCGTAGGGTATTTTCGCGATTTTTTTGTAGCTAATGTCGTTCGTTCAAAATTCTGGAGAAGAATACTCAAAAACCAAACCAAGTAATCAAAAAAATGAACCTTTCAATCTTTTCTTCCACACGATCTTCAAAAACTTCGAGATTGTATAAACCCTAGCCCATGAAATCAAAACAAAAAACCAAGGATCCGTGTAATGGCGACTGCATTAAGAGAGATTTAGAAGGCGAATCGATTAAGAGAGGAGAAGAATACTCAAAAACCAAACCAAGTAATCAAAAAAACGAACCTTTCAATCTTTCGTTCCACACGATCTTTAAAAACTTCGAGATTGTATAAACCCTAGCCCGTGAAATCGAAACAAAAAACCAAGGATCCGTGTAATGGCGACTGCATTAAGAGAGATTTAGAAGGCGAATCGATTAAGAGAGGAGGAGGAGAGATCCGCGTAATGGCGACTGGATCATGTAGACGGCGAATGGATTAAGAGAGGAGGAGGAGAGATTTTTGGAAACGGCGGAATGAGGGAATGAGAAAGGTCCATACAATTTCATGAATGGATTAGAGGGATCCGTGTATTTGTTTTTGTGGTGTCCTATTGGTTCAAACAATTTCACACGGATTACAATCATGACCCTTCATTTTAGATCCAAAGGTCCATAATTGATTTCCTTGATTTTTAAGATAAATATCTTAAATTATAGAGGGCCCACAAAGATAAACCTTTTATAAAATGGTATATATATATATATATATATATATATATATATATATATATATATATATATATATATATATATATATATATATATATTAGTTTATAACCCGTGGGAACCACGGTTATAATATTAATCAAACTTTAATAGTTAAAATTTAAAATTATTAATAACTTATTTTAAATTAATTATTAATTAAGAGGTTTTTTTAGTTATATGAAATTATAATCATTGATTTAAATAAATATGTAAAATTATATCATTTTATAATTTGTATTAATTTTATTTTAATTTTTATTCTAATGTTGTTAATTTAATTTAATTAGAATGTGAAATTTAAAATTTGAAATTTAAAATTTGAAATTTGAAATGGAGAATCAATATGTTGACAAATGGTATGCATTAATTATAAAACATAATAAGGTGAAACATAGCAAAAGAAAAATAAAATTTGCATTAATTATGAGGCTTAATATGGTGACATATGTAAAAAGAAGATTAAAAACTACTCTTTTATTAGAATAGGGATATATATATATATATATATATATATATATATATATATATATATATATATATATATATATATATATATATATCCGGTAAGAATTTTTTTTGGTAGGAAGGTAAGGAGTTTTTTTCTATATATTTTTTTGACGAACAAAATAAATGAATCACTAGATGATTCATAAGAAAAAATTACTAAAAAAACATCTTTATGATTCATTTTTAAGTAAATTAAGAAAAAAATTCATTTTTATGATAATTTTAATGAATAACAACAAAATCATTGTATAAATGAATCATCAAGATGTTTTTTTTTAGAATTTTTTCTTGTGAATTATCTTACAAATGAATAATCTAATGATTCATTTTGTTTGTTTGCGAAAAAAATATGTAGAAAAAAAAAATTCTTACCTTCATACAAAACATTTCCTTATTATTTGATCTTGACACACACACACTCTCTCTCTCTCTCTCTCTCTATATATATATATATATATATATATATATATATATATATATATATATATATATATATATATATATATATTCAAACACTAGGTGTGAGACATATGTACTATATGTGTTTATTTAAAAGAAAATTTAAATATAAAATTCAAAATATTTAAAAAGTTTGAATTTATAAGAAAAGTGAGAAAAATATTAAATTATAAAACCTTAAGTTTATTTATTTATTTATTTTTTTTATCTGTTTAATTTTAATAAATGATTTATATAAATAAATAAAGAAATTTAATTAAACTTTAATTTAATAATTTTGAAAATAAAAAGAAAATCTATTGATAAAATTGAGATGTATTTATTATTAGTATTTAAATAATATATAAAATTTACTAAAATAGAAAAACTATAAAATAATATGTATTAGAAATTAATTTAAAATAATCATAAAATTACATATAACAAAAATAAAAGTAAAAATATAATACAAGACAAAAAAAAATCTTTATTACCTTTTTAAATCATAAACAACTAAAGTCATTATATCAAACGTAAGATTACTCGGTCAAACAACCCTAAAGTCATTATATCATGAAAACTAAAAATGGATTATTGAACACTTTAAGGACTCATCCGGTTATAGAGACCTTCTTTCTCTCTATTATATACATATAAATAGCTCAAGCTTTAATATCTACAAGAAGATCGTCAACAACTTTAAAAGCACTCCGGCGAACGAAGAAAATGCATCGTTACGCAATCCTCCTTCTTCTTGCTCCCTTGATCGTCGCAGTGGTTCACGCCCGTGTCACGGCGGATGATTTCATCAGGTTGCCGTCGGACAAACTTGATTCCGTTGCCGTGGAAGATGACTCCCTTGGTACACGATGGGCTGTATTGCTTGCTGGATCTAATGGCTACTGGAATTACAGACATCAGGTTATCCTAGCTCCAAACTATTTACTAGTTTACTTGTTAATTTGGTCCTGTTAACTAATTGGTTTATCCATGACAATTAAACAAAATTTCGACGCTGATTGAATTTCTGTGAAGGATTATTTAGAGAAAATTCAGTCTATTCCTATATTATATAATTGTATATAGAGGTTAATCTAATTGGCCAGTTTTGGATATGTTATGCTCTGACAGCTGTAACTTTTTTTCTATTGTATTTCGTACACGTGAAGTTACTAGTTTACTGGTTAATTTGGTCTTGTAATCCTGTTAACTGTCATGCTGTTGTATTTTCTTTGTCCTGTTGATTGATTGGTTGCCAAAATAAATCTTTTGAAAGTCATGCCTGTAATAAGGGCTATACATCTTTATGCAGTCCCACATAAGTGTCCTGCTAGTAAGAAGGTGAGATTGATAACTGAGGTGTCATGTTCATTCATCTTAGACTCACCTGCTTGGCTATGGTGTTACCTCTAACCTCTCTTACCTTGGCTGTGGGAGCTGTTAGTGGAGACAGCCCTTTTCACATCCCTATGCAACCTTTGGTAATGAATATCAGAATATATATATATATATATATATATATATATATATATATATATATATTATATATATATATATATATATATATATATATATATATTATATATATATATATATATATATATATATAGGTGACTTCTTTCCAAATAAACAAACATAAAGAGTTAATTTATAGAGAACATGAAACATGCTACCAAACTTACCACTTTTTTCCTTTCTCAATGAGAGAAGCTAGGATTTTTATATGAAAAGAAGTTGTGGCGTTATGTTTATGCTCTTATAGATAAAAAAGAGAAAAACATTAGGATTTTTAAGCTATATTGTAACAAGTAACAACCCATATCTCATGGAAAAAAGAGTGAGGATGGTTTGAAGTGGCAGATTCATGTAACATGGATAGGCAATGGCCATCATGGTTTTAAGCTGATGAACAGGTTATTGGGATGATTCAGGGGTTACAAGAGACAGTAGTAGTAGTAGCCTTTCGGACTCACAAGGGACATTATGAGTTCCGTGATTCATCCCGTCTTTTTCATGTTTCACAGCTCAGGGAAATCATACAGGTCCAAGAGTGGAACCATTGGAGTTAAGCCAGGAAATGGAGATACGATATGAGAACCACAACAGTTGCTAGGAGTTCCTTCCAGAAATTAAATCAAGACAAAGAAAGTACTGTTGATTAAGTGGACATGGGAGGATTTTCACAACCATTAACAACTTGTTCCCGGTTTTCCACCTTGAGGCCAAGGCGGGTCTATATGCTAGACCTCCAATTTCACTTACACTTATCACAAAATCCAGTTCAAAAGGGGAAATAATGCTCTAGTTAGTAGTTAGTAAAGGGTAAATTCGGTATTTTACCTTTTTAGTAGTCTGTTGTTGTTGTGCTGCTATTAGTAGTGAAAGTCAGTTAGTGTTTTGAGAGATTGGAATCTTCCTGGGAGGGTCTAGCACCTCAAATTTTTTTTATACTTTCTGGCTTATTACTTTTGTGTTCTTGTGTGTTGTTTGCTAAATCTGAGCAAGGCATAACAGTATCTTCCTAGGTATTGATTTTCTGTGTAGGCATGCTACCAATAACTTCCATTATGGATTTAGGATGATTTTTTAGGTTATAAGGCTAGTCCCAGTAACATTAGGCATGAGATGCTTACACATATTAAATTCCTGAAGTTTGGAGCATCATTTTTGTCA